CATAAGCCTTGATTCCAACACAAGATTTCCTGATATTCTTCTTCTCCTCAAACTGTATGTTTTATATTTCTGTTTGCCCTGCTTGCCCTTTTTCACTGATCTTCATAAGAGTTATTAGTAATAACTACTCAGCAGAGTCAATATCTTGAGAGTAAATACTAGCTTGTCTTAAAATCTCCTCTGCCAACAAAATCAGTCCAACACTGTTCTTACACCTTCATCCTATAAACAAAGAAGAAGCCTTCATGGTAGACCCCAGCTATCACATTATCACCACCCAAATCTTGGAAAGCACCCATTAAACTCATAGACGTGGGGTTTATTTTTTCCCTTCAATTTAGCCTCGGATTCTTAGCTCACAGGCAAAGGGCAGCCACTGCTCTCAGCACTATTGTCTTCTAAACTCCTACTATGATGGCCCATTAATCCCCATTTACAGAGTTTAACCACTTTCTTAGTCCAAGGTCCCAATGTCTTCTACATTCCTCAAAAAAAAAATTCCATAGGCAGTCACAGCAATAGTCTCCTCTCTGGCACCAAGTTCTGTCTTAGTTACTTTTCTATTGCTGACAAAACACCATGACCAAAGTAAACTAGAAAGCTTTTAGTTTTGGGCCTCACAGTACTAACACGGGGGTTAGAGTCCATGATCACCATGGTGATGGTGGGAGACAGAGGCATGAGGTGGCCCTGGAGCAGCAGCTGAGCAATTTTACCATGATCTGTTAGTAGGAAGCAAACAGAGCTGACTGGGTATTGGCTTTTGGTACTTCAAAGCTGTCCCCAGAGATACACCTCCTCCAAAAAGGCCAAACCTCCTGATCCTCTCCAAACAGTTTCATCAACTGGAAGCCAAATTTTTAAACACATGAACTTGTGTGAGCCATTCTCATTAAAACCATCAGAGAGCCGTAGACATAGATTAAAAGTACAACTGGCATTTCAAATCAACTGAATTCTTTCCATGCATAGCCATGGTATGGACCTCTCACCATGGACAGTCTTTCAGCCCCATATGGAACAGTAAAGTCCTCCAGACAGACGGCTGTGTTCCTAGCTTATCAGAATTCCTCATCTGTCCATAACAAGAGGTAAAGCTTAGGGAAGAGCATGTGCTAAAACACCTGTGATCCCCTGGCTTGATACCCAGCACCCAAAACAGACATGACCTAGATCCTCCAGACCACATATATGTCATTCTCTAACTCAGGATGCCAGATCTACGGACACTCTTAGTTTTCTACCCATTTATATAAGAGAGGGGAGGGACAGAGGGGAATAAGACCAAGGTGATATACCGTCATCTCCCGTAGCTTGTTGGTATTGTTTTATGGAAAACCACACGACAGGTAATATGAGAATAGAGATAAGCTAAGAAACTGAAATAGATAGGTGGGAGAAAAGGCAGGGCAGGGTAAGAAAAGAAGGATAGTAACAACCAACATATTTCCCATGATATATGTTCGCATCCCTTGCTGTATGACCACTGTTCCACCGGCATATTCCAGCAATGCTAGACGGTCTGTCTCCATTTTAATGACTACCAAAGTAAAAGGTATATTAAAATTTCTATCATATTTTATGATGTTTGGTATTTCTCTTCTGTTTTGGAAATCTCATTCTAAGCAACAATTCTGATAAAAATGTTTTTATGTTTTTTCTGTTGTTCCTTGATTTTTAATAATTAGAGCACTTCTTATCTTAAAGTGATTAAATGGCTGTGAGATCATAAAAAGAAAATTACTTCCATTCAAGTCCACCCAATCATCTTTTTCTCTCCAACATACAGCACACAGCCAGGAATCCTATGAAAAAGTCACCTCTAAGCCGGGCAGTGGTGGCGCACGCCTTTAATCCCAGCACTTGGGAGGCAGAGGCAGGCGGATTTCTGAGTTCGAGGCCAGCCTGGTCTACAGAGTGAGTTCCACTACAGAGTGAGTTCCAGGACAGCCAGGGCTACACAGAGAAACCCTGTCTCGAAAAAAAACAAAAAAAAAACAAAACAAAACAAAAAAAGTCACCTCACAGAGGCTTCCAGTCATGTATCCTGGAGTCCTCAGCACCGAGGACAGGGCCATCCACACTGCAGCAGAAGCCCACCCTCTTTCAACTGCAAGCTGCTGTGAGTTTAGCAGGAAAGCAGCAGGAGCAGGCTTTGGTGCACTTTTTCAGGGATGCTAATGAAGAGGAGGCATTCCAAGGCACCAACTGCTTCTGTGTGGCTGAACAGGCCATGTGAGGTAGGATGCAGCTTGCCATCTTAAGGCTCTGCCTATCACCCTCTTAGGGGTGTTTTATGGACCCGTGCCTTTCTTTCTACTGTTTCTGTCCGTCTCCCCTTCCTCCCTCTCTCCTTTAATGATGCACAGCTTCTTGATCTTTCTTGGTCATTTCCTCTTTCTTTGGACTTCTAATTTTTACTTCCTTCAGTAGGTTTCTTCAGTTTTTAAAACTTTACTTTCCATGAACCTCTGTGAGAGGCATCGAGTGAAATCTTCAAGTCATAGACAGAAATCCACTCTGAAGTGCATTTTCATAGACCCAAACACATGTTATATCGATGTGTGTCTGCACTTACACTGCTTCCTCTCAAGAGATGCCACAATGCTCTGTGCTAAAAATAAGCCTGTTTCCTGACAGATTAATGTGACTGGGAAGTCAGCCATTCTCAAAGGAAGAGGAGACATTTCCTCCAAACGTACATGCTGTTGGCTTCCCCAAACACAGTTCATCTCCGGTGTGACTTGATGAATGAGGGTCAGACTTGTCGTCCGGTCTTACTCAAAGAGACAACACACACCCATGTTCCTTTTGACACCAGAGAGAGAACCACAGACAATGGTTTTGCCTCCAACTTAGTAGAGTATACTATTGAACTTGACACCTGAGAATTTTCACAATGGTGCTCGCCTTCCATAAGCCCAGAGCCATGCTGGCAAGCAATCCTCCATGTGATTTCAGATACATCATAAATTTTTGACACACTGAGGTTAAACAGACTCATATAAAACAATTACTTACTCTAGGTCAACAAAGTTAGAGGTTTATCTATTACAGAAGATACTGTTACTATTAAATCTCAAAATAAGACACCATTATCCCAAGACTTTATTTTCAATATTTAAAGTAAATTTTCTGATTTCCTTACTCTCACCAAACAAACCTCTACTTTTCTGAAGTCATTCCTCAGTCCATCCAGTCTGGACTCACTGGAACACATTACTACAACTGTAGCCTGTACAGTCATTTTCCTTCTGAACTGAGAGCAACACTTTTGAAGTAATGGTTATATTTCAATCTTTTGTTCCCTATGCCCAGTACACACTCTGACATAGTTTCTTATAAAAACAAATAGATGAGGAAGAAGAACACAGTTGGGATTTGTCCTATGGAAAATAAAAGCTGAAAGGGATGTGGCAAAAGTTTAAAACCTGTGAGAGGTATCCAGAAGAGGATGAAGGGGGACTTTAAACCGTTCCCTAGACAATCTGAAATAAGGATTGAAAATGCTAAGCATGAGATTTCAAAGAATTAATGCTAAACCAAGGAATGCCGAGACTGCAAGAAACAGTCTTCACCAGGAAAGAACACACCAACTGATCATGCAATAGCAGATGGTCAGCCCTGGAAATGTTCATACAAATAATGTTATGCAGACTAAGCAGGGTATATCTATGTAATGACGACTACATATGTATTTACATAAACATCTGCAACAATTTATGAAAAAGAAGGCATACACTTGAAAGAGCTGGGGGAGGAGGGTTACATGGGAGGCTTTGGGGGTAGGAAACTATCTAATATAATCTCAACAAATAAAAATAATATTTAAAAAATAAAATAAATGAAAATAATACTAGCAAAGAAGTCAATCTGGAATTTAGCAAACTTGAGCTTCTTAACTTCAAGAAATGATAGATTATTTAAAACATCATAAAACTTTTTTGAAGAAAGCTTGGTTCTATTTCTTAAGCATTTGAGGGTGGGTCATGAAGAGAAAATATAGCTTTAGAGAATGTGACCCTCAGATCTAGAAAAACAGAAATCTGACAAAAATATCTGTACTGTATTATAATCATGTCACTTTTTTTTCTATATGAGTAGTCCTGTAGGTCACAGCCAGGACCACACACACTGGGCAAGAGGTCTATCCCCTCCTCTTAGAAACCATAAACATGTAGTAGATGTGCTGTCTCATGCTTTCCCAGCTAATATCCAGCCAAACTTTACTGGACTGTCTCTCCTGGCAATGTCAGCATTCATCCTCCTCCTCCTCTTCCTCCTCCTCCTCCTCTTCCTCCTCCTCTTCTTCTTCCTCCTCCTCCTCCTACTGCTACTACTCCTCTTCTTCCTCCTCCTTCTCCTCCTCATCCTGCTTCTCTTCCTTCTCCCAGGTACATCTTGCTACAATATCTAGCCGAGTCTTAAACCCCTTGGCTCAAGTGATTTTACCACCTTAGCATCCCTGTGGATGTGTGTCCCCACAGACAGCTTTCATTGGCATTTAGAGAACCTATGTGGAACTCAAGGACAGCAAGAGTAAATAAGCTCAGATAACAATCCAGAACTTCCCAGGGCTTTCCTTCTGGCTCTCTTACATGCCTTCATACATCATAGTAATTTGCATGTCAAGAAAGAACTATTACATGCTTGTGAAATAATCAGTAGTCTCACTCTATGCCCAGAACTTTCTTTTTCCCATACCTGGAAAAATCCACACAAAGCAATGGCTAGACTAACCAAAAGTTTGGGTGTTTCATGGTGACTTCTGTTTACTCTACAAAAACTAACTTTTAGAATACAGATCATAAATGGGCATTGGGTTTCAATCATCTTTGACCTTTCTATCACTTTCCCTGGCTCACAGCATTTAACTTTCAACTGAAAGCTATGACAGTCTAACAACAGAAACTAAAGCATAAAGCAGACATTTTCCCTGTAATAGAAAGGATACTTAGCCTCAGACCTTCACTCTGAAAGATCTCAAGGTGCATACTCACCTGCATCTGGGATATAGTTAAAGGGTATCGGAATAATATCCAGGTAACTCCTTCGCTGCAAGGTGGGATAGTAAGAGATCCTTCATAGACCCAGTAATCCCGCAGAAGAGGGTCTGTGCAAACACATGAACATGTTATGAAAGGGCAAGCTGATGAACTGACAACTCCAGCAGCAATTTTCAAAATAGCAGTCAGTTCCCATAACACTTCTCAGCTAGATCCCATTTTTAAGTTAGAGCCTTACACAAATTCTTACACTACCACTAGTGAAGAAAATAATCAATCTATCATATGTCGTAATCTAGTTCAGAAACTACTACTCATGTTTTCATCATAGCTAATTCACAGCTGATTTCTATTGAACTGTTTCCAGTGTTCTTTGGAGGAGTATACATCAATTCATTGAATCTTCTCAACAAACAAATGAGACATAGTAACCTCATTTTATATGGGAAAACTAAATTATAGAATGTTAGCAATTTATCCAAGATCCCACAGCTACTAACTGCTGGAGGATTTGAACCTAAGCAAAGGCAGTGTTTTTAAACATTCTGCTCTTGCAAACTCTACATTGCTTCTTCAACAGTAGGTTACTAAAAACCTACTGTGATAAAAGAAAACAAGTCACTTATTTGAACCCCTTAGTACTGCCTAAGAGGAACTGGCCATTAAATATATACTGAGGTAAGTGTTCAATATATGAGGAAAACTAGTTATCGAGCAGTTAGAGAGGGGATACAGTGTATGAACGTGGTTGGTTTAGTTTGAAACACTATGGAACAGCACATAATTTAAGCAGAGAAATGTGGAAACCAAAACTATAACTCCAAGTTCAGAGTGTTTTATATATAATTAGTACCTGTGCATAAATACAATTAGAATATAAAATAGTGACACTGTAAGGAAGTAACCTTATAAAAGGAGATATAAAGTTTATTTCATTCTAGCAATAATCTGATTGTTTTGGAAGCATAGCAGTTATTTGAGGTTTGTGGGTTCTTTACACTGAGGTGGCCACTTTACATTTTATGAGTGATGTCACTGAGAAAGTTTTTTCTGGAATAAGGAAACATAGGCAAGGGCTTCCTAACATTCAAAAGCTTTCCTGCCTTATCAACATTGATCTGAAACTGCACCTGGTACAGAGAACAGAAATTCCAAAGAAATTTTGTCAGCTAATAATAGATGCTTATGAACATTCAAGAAGAACGGGGAGGTTACACACACAGTTAAAGTTCATTTAAGGCCATCGGGTAAATGCTTACCTGGTAATAAAGTATTAGGATTAAAGCATGGAATTGTTTTGGATTTTCCCTAAAAAACAAAAATTAATTCAGTTCATGTTAATGTAAAATTTATTAAACTTTTGAATAAAAATTATTAGAACTAAAGATCTCTATACTTAAAGTCTTTTCTGATGATCTCACCAGCCCCCAATATTACTGAGTGGACCACTGTTCTCACTGGAGTGAAATAGGCTGGATCCAGTAAAATAAACTTTCTCTGAATCTATGGTGGTTTACTTTTGAATTTAAATTTCATTTATAATGCCTGGTGCAGAACATGCAACTTGTGCCTATTGCCCCTCAGAAACATTTTTACTAAAACAGATGCCATAGGAAAAGAGGAAGCCTCATCCTCACTTCCTGGACTCCATCCTGACTTCAGGAGGAGCCCTTTTGCTGCCTTCCAGGAGATGGCCTCTGAGACCTTGGAGCACCCAACCCCCACCCCTGGTAATATGTTTTTCTACACTTGAAGACTTAGGGGTTTTACAACCCCACCCTTGGGGCCTGTTACACTAGTATGAGCCAGTGTGCTTATCATGAAAATATTTGGAGCCCTGGCTTGACTCCTTGTTAAAGAAATATCAATAAGGCTTAGGAAGCCAGGGAAAATTGACTAGGCAATTCATTTAAATGATCATCCCTGAAAAATATCCCTAGACATCAAGGACATGAGAGGTCCCAGTTCACACAGGTGATACATCATGCTGGGACTACTAGGGGCCCAGAAGAAACTAGGAAGCTTGGCTCCAGGTCCCCCTAGGCTTCAGCCCATGCATGTCCTCTTACCAGTATCACCCTATAATAATCCATAACTGTTAACTTTAGCAGCTATTCAGAGTTCCATATGTCCTTCTAAAAAGTTATCAATCCTAGAGATGGCCACTGGGAATTCATATAAAACCATTTTCTGTTATTTAAACAATGATTTACCTTATATTGAATATCCTGGAGTATCTCAGTTACAGCCTTCAAGCCAACATGTTCCTTCCCTATCTGAAATACATAAAGCACAAACCACAAACACATTTTTTGTGCTTAGCTTTTACCCAAAATAACTACCAGATGCCAGGCTCCAGTCCACCTGAAGGACCTTCTTGGGAACTAAATTACTTTTCTATTTTTGCTCAGACCAATAACTAAAGGTAACATGTTTCAAAGGCTTGAATAATATAATACCTGAGAATTTATCCAAATTCATGTTGCTATAGATATTTATCACGGTGTCATAGGCAATATACGAAACCATAAAAGCTTCTATAGAAAAATAGCATAAGTGGTTATTAGTTAAAGTTGTCCAATATGTGTCTAAAGTCTTGCCTTCTTTAAAAGACAATCTCTAACTATCCTTGAGATGTGGTCTGTAGACAAGACTGGCCTCAGACATTTGTGTGCCTTTGTCTCTGCCTCCTAGGTGCTGGAATTAAAGGCCTCCATCACCATGCCCAGATTTTTCACTTTTATTTACTTACCTATTTTTCTGCTTTCATGTCTTTGACATTTATAAAGCATTGTCATAAAATTTTCATCAAAGTTGAAATTTTTCATTAACTCAGAAGTAGATATATTGTTTCATACGCCAATATCAAAATTAAAACATCCCTGGATTATCACTGATCACTATTCAATAGCCTCTTATTCATGATTTTCAAAGCTTTCATATAATATATAAATATACATTTATATATTATATGATTCATATTTATATATTATTTATAAAATATACATTTCTACATTACATATATATATGTATGTATGTATGTATTTAAAGTAATGTTCCAAAAAACTGTTACTTGAAATAAGTTTCTGTCACTTATGTCTTTGTCTCTGTAAATGTCTAGTGACATCTGACTGCCACTTTGAGCCTCCCTCCAGTGGCCCTGACAACAGCGAAGAACAGGGCTCAGGCATCACCTCAGACAGTCAGGCACTGCTGTGCTAGGCCTTTTCTCTTTGTAAGTATGTCTGCAGAATGACCTGTAAGAAGCGAGAGTAGCTGTCAACATGTACACTCTTGTTTCTCCTAACATTAACTGTGAAATATGCAAGAGAAAGAAACAATGAACTGAAGAACGGCCAGTCAGCTCAAGGTAATCAAAAGCTTTCTTGAGACGGGTTCTAAAAACAGAAAATAAAATTTCTAGAGTTTAAGTAAACAAGTCTCCAATTAAGTGCTTCCTTTTATAAGTTGCCCTTGGTTATGGTGTCTCTTTACAGCACTAAGACAATATGATAGACAATACATATTACTAGATTTTCTAGAAAAAAGTCCAACACTTAAAATAAACTTGTAAATATATGCATGAATGCAAAAGCCAGCGTCTCAACCAGGAGCCTTCCCTGACCATCAGAAGAAACAGTGTTTCCTTTTTTCATGATTTTAGGAGGAGGAGGAAGCTCCTAAAGGCATGGACATCTAATTGGGATCAATTTTCCCTTTATGAATCTCCTGTCAGATCACAACTCTGAGAAGAGTCGACATGAGAACACTGTAAAGCCACACAACATAGTGGTCCAGTGTGAGCTCTCACACACGGCACTGACCATCTGGCTTCTGTTTCTGACTCTGCCACAGTTTAGCTCTGGGATCTCTACATCCTCCTTGCTGTCATTTTGAAGTTTTCAGCTCTAGGTCACTCTTTCTGATCAAGCCTTCACATTTACCCAGCCCTCTCTCTCTCTCTCTCCCTCTGTTCTCTCCCTTTACTGTGTTAGCAGCCGAGATACTCAGCCCCTTGATTCATCCTTTCTCATTAAATTGAGTGACATCTTTTCTACCACTCTCAGGTCTCCTGTCCCTTTATCCTCCTAAATCACCTGCTCTCCAATTGATCATCACAACAATCTACTGAAATGCCCCTCCTCCTATGTGGATGGAGGACAATACCTCACATGCTGTCCCACCCAATCCATGATGTTCAGCTTTTTTCAGGTGGGTTTGCGGTACAGTCTCTCTCTCTCTCTCTCTTTCTCTCTCTCTTCCCTCCCTCACCCTCCCCCCCCCCCTCCCCTTCCCCCTCTCTCTCTCCCTCCCCCCCCCTCCCCCTCCCTCCCCCTCTCCCCCTCCCTCTCTTTTTCTCTCGGCTGTTTCAAAATCAAACCCTATCTTCAGCTTCCTCTTACTCTATAATACTGCTTTGCATGTCTCAGAATACTGAAGGACCCCAAACATGAGCTTCCCTAACTCTCTGCCCGCTCTTTACCTAAGAAAGTGGTTGCTGTGTGAGGCCTTAAATCCAAGTAGCCTAGGCAGACATCCTCCACTCCACACCCTCCCTTCTCCTTTAAGATGCCTCTGCATGAACCGCCCCCTCTCTTCTCCATATTTTTTAAACTGTGCCTGTGCTAGCTCTCAGATCTCAAACCTGCCACTGACTCTGCTCCTTTGGCCTTTTCATGTTTGAGTTAAGCCTTTAGAAATTACATCAGCCATCACTGCTCCCACTTCCTCCTCTGGGCCTCTGATGCTGTGGCCCAGGGCACCAGCCTGGGATGTAGAGACTTGAGCTCCTTTCTCCTCCGCTTCCCCTGACACTCATCAGCCACTCCTGAGTCTTTCCTCATAACAAATGCATGTGAGAATATCTGCACATGTTCTAGGGCTTTCTGTGGCCACAAGCTTGCTCCTGGAAACACGGGGCTGGTCCCAGGAGGCTAACTTTTCAACCCAGGGCCCCTCAGTCCTCAGACAGCGGTAACAGTAAACAACCATACCTAATAAAACTCCAAATCCATCAAGTACCAAGTCTGAAAATGAAGCTTTTCCCACCTCTCCAGATGACGATGTTGTGTTTGTGTTCCTAAGTTTATTATCCTTATTCCTACATATGATGTAATATCTTCCACTGCCTCAATTTTGCCAACTTGATACTCCACTCCCTTTTCCAGATTACAGAAAAAGGACTTTCTAAGTTAATTCTTCAATACACTGAAAATTAAAAACATTTTCTGTCAGTAGTTTGACATTTCTTTCTACCTATATAATAGTCGTAAAGCTAAAGGAATGGTGAGCTGTGCCTACATAAGCATAAAGCAGGGAGTCGGGCGAGAATCCCATTTCAAATGCAAGGATGTGTTTTCATTCTGTCCATGGGCCTCAGATGCTCTTCTTCTAGGCCAGAAGGCTGCTAAAATTCCCAAGGACCATTTCACCTCCAATAAGTCTTTTAGCATACCATGAAGCTGCGGATGAAGTTTAAAACTCACCTTAGGATATCTTACATTTCTACTTCATAGCACATGGCTCCATTTTATTCGTCTGCTAAACCATGTAAAGTCTCTGTCACCGAAGAGCCCAATGCCTGCTTAGACTGGCTAAGTCTGCCATGGTCTCCACCACCTTTTATGTTAGCATTGTTTTCTATAAAGCATTTGAAATCACCTTTGAGTGAAAATTATTAATAACAAAAGACAAGACACTACATGATTATATTGTTGATTTTTCTTGGATTTTGCAGTAAGCCTGGGGTCTAAAAAAATTTTCCTGAAATTCTTTTTCCTAAATCAAATGCAGTCTGACTTCAGGAGACATTCTCCAAGTTGTTTCTCCACAGGCCCCAGATACCACTCTGAAGAAAACATCTAGTATATAAATAAACTGTTTTATACAAGAAATACAGCTCAACTCTTGGGAATTGACTATCAAATTATCAGCATTTATGTGTTTAATTTGACCTCAAGGTGATAAAATTGAGAGTTTAAAAAATATTCCACAAAATGACTACAGGCAAGCATCTCTAAACAATGTAACCTCACAGCAGAAAATTTACCTGAACGAACAGTGCAATGATGGCAATGCCATGGGGCTTCCCAACCGCCTCATCGATGCTGTCGAACAGCGTGGAATTCCAGTGGATCAGGTGGAGCTGAAGGCACAAGACAGACCGACCACATCACGTAACACATTACTCAGAAAAGCAGGCAGTGTCTATCTATCCTACTTGCAGAATCTACATGATATCAAGCATAAAAGGGGGAATCATAGCCAGTCAAAAGCAGGCTACTGCCTCAAGAGAAGCTGTCTGTAAGAGCCCTTCTTATGTGTTCCGCTCAGTGTGACTCAAGGATGATTTCACACTGGTTGAGCATATTTCTTCAAGTCCTGGCCCTATGGGTTGCAATGGAGCAATACAGGTCTAGAGTCAAACACTACTCCTCATTGCAAGGACAGAGCCAGGGTATGTGTGGCTCAGTGGTGGAGCTTTGTATGCTTCAACCCTTGCACCAACAGAATGGGGAGATTTGGGTTAGGACCTGCGTCATTGTCCAGCATTTCCAGTAACAACTCTTAAAAGGTGCTCTCAAAACCTGGTCAATTATCTCAACCATCTGAGAATATCCAAAATCAGCAAACTATTGAGTGGGGAGGGGGAGCTTTTTTATTTTTTAAAGCTATGGTAAAGTAGTGAATGCAGATGCACATTTCTAGAAAAAGACCATTTCCTTGACTACCATTAAAAGCTCAACTGTAAAGCCATGGCAGACCATGCTGAGGGGCCGGCACTGCTCACCTCACAAAGCTCTGCTTCACTCAGGCACACTCTCTAGAATATGCACTTGCTCCCCCAGCTCCCATACACACTGCAAGCAGCCAAATCGGGTCCCCCTCATGACCTCCACGAGCCCCCCACCCCCATCTCTCACACCTTCCATACCACCCACACAAAACAAAGAAATGAAAACTGAAACACTTCCTCCTTTAAAAAGCAGTCCTCACCAAAAGCAAAAGCATCTCTGAAATTTGATCACTGTGCATTTTAGCATGTTGAAATTTCCAAGAGAGACTGCCGTGAGGATTGCCTAAAGTTTGATTTCCAGCTGCTAAACTCGTCCACAAGCTTTTAGCTTAGTATTTTCATCAGCCCCCTGACTGTGAGAACACGTGGTTTCCTAGTCCTGTGCCTGCTCTTGGGACTCTTCCTTCTGTTGGGTTACCTTGTCCACCTTCGATATGATGCTTTTGGCTTCATCTTACTGTATTTTACTTTGTAATGGTTGGGTGTCATTATCTCTTAGATGACTGTTCTAATGAGAGAGAAAAGGGGAGTGGATCCAGGTGAGGAAGAACTGGGAAAAGGAGAGGGGGGGAACCTATAATCAGGATATGCAAAAAGAGTGTATTTTTGAAAAATGTAAAAACCAACTGACCACTAGGGGGAGGTAACAAAGTCAGTAATGGACTGAAGAACCGGAGGTCAGGCTGTGCATCCTCACTGGGGCTGCAAGTTTCCAGTGTTAACTCTCCAGGCACTGCCTTTCCCAGTGCAGCCTCACATCATCTCCCAGTCAATAAGAAAATGCTGAGTCATTTTGATCTTTCTTCTGTGGATGCAGCAATCGCTTTTCAAAACCCTACAGTACTGATAAGGAAGGGCTAGTGGCTCCCACTTTATCAGCAATGCTCTGAGCCCTCCATCAGAAGAGAGCTTATTCATCATATCACAGACTTTAAAGGACATTTTCTTCCCATAACAATATGATGAGACACCTTTTTCCAGAAATGGAATATTAAGGAATGTTTCTAAAGCATGACTTTTTGCTTTCTGTTTGTTTGGTGCATGGAATCTGCTTTGATACTCTCCCCAGCTCAGCCGAGTCATCACCCACACCTGCCCCTCAGAATTTTGCAAATTCCTTTAAGCCCTTTAACAACCTTAAGGCTCCCACTCTCTATGTGTGCATAGTGCATGGTGACTGTTTCAAGAAGTACAGCACACAGATCAGGTAAAGGGGAAGTTTCTAGTAAAGGGGCCCAACAAAACCACACAATCAAGACCAGCTTACAGCTCTGCACACTGGCAATAGGTGTCTTGGTATGTAATGAAGATGGCACTGTATCTCTGTGTTCTCCCTCTCAGCATCCCTTAAGAATGATGTAATCGTGATTAGAATGTCAGGCAGAACATCTGGCCAGGACATTTCAGGACTGTCAAGACCATCGAGTAGAAAATGAGAAAATGTCACAGACAAGAGAAGCTGAAGAACAAAAGAACGTTGAGTGATAAGATTTCATAAATGGGATTTAGAGACAGAAGGAGATTCCATAGAAATTAAGGAAATATGAATGAGATATAGACTCAATGATGTACCCATGTTAGCCCACTAATTCTAACCGATGTATGTTGATGGAGAAAATTGCTATGTGGCACACAGAAATTTTTTATATTATGTTCATAATTTTCTGCAAATCTCAAACTGTTGTAAAAATGGTAATTTTTTTTGTTTCCCTTAAAGGAAAGTAAGGGAAACTCTAGCACTTCAGCCATCTCAAGATAAAACAGACAACAGCTCTCTGTGGTCTCCACATGTCTAGCACAATAATTCAAACTAAAAGAGGCAAGAAAATCTCTACCATCTGTTCTCCTTTGTCCTGAGACCTGGTGGCTCAGGGCCAAGAAGACTGTCATCTCAAAGTTGACAAGTATCCCACACTCTGATACCAAAGGACCATCGTGGTCCTGAGACTTTATCTTCTCCTGAAGATATGTTTCCTCTTACAGGAAGGAGACAATGGGAGAATTCATTTCCCCATAAAAAAGAGATTAGATGGCTAACTCAAGCTCCAGGCCAGTTTCTGACACACCCTGGAAGCTGGCCAGCCTGGGCTGTCACCCACAGCAGTAACTAGATGCATGATCTGCAGGCACAGCACACTGCACTCTTAATCTTTCTCAACTCTCGGCTTGCTCTGGTCCTCAAGGGCTTCCCTGATCCATCTATACTCCTCCTATGAAGTATACTGTCCCAGCATCCAGACTGGAAGGATGCAGCAACAGAACTCACTTTCTCAAAGTCCCAGAGGCTGGACGTATGAGAATGGGGTGCTGGCAGAGTTGTCTCCATGTAACACTTCTGTCCTTGGCTTGCAGATGACCTTCTCCATGATGTCACATGGTATCCCCCACATGTGTGTCTATGTCCTAATCATTACTTCTTATAAGAACACAGCTATACTGGATGAGGGTCTGAGCATAAGATTCCTTTCCTAATTACCTCTATAAAGATTTGAGTTCCAAATATACTCATAGTCACATGCACTGGCATCAATACCTGACTTTGGAGTGACACAAGTCTGTTCATCTACCTCACATGAGGTATGCAAGCTCAATGTAGCTGCAACCAATTGCATGCCCCAAGTAGCCATCATGTGATCTCCTGCAGCACAATTTCCAACTTCGGACTATGTCCTAGACTGACAGAAGGAGCTCAATGACCAAACCTTGACACTGTCACCACTAGGTAAGTGCTGGAAAGCTCTACTGCCACTTGAGATTAACCCAGTAACTAACATGTGTAAAGCCAGTTTTGACTCCCTAAGACCCCTCCCTCTCACCCAAGTCATGGAGATCCACCAGTTTGCCTGACTGCTTTTGGTCACACCTCTGTCTGTCAGTCCTCCAGGGTCCTCAATAATCCTACGTGTCTGTCTGACACTTCAGTCTCCAGCACCTTCCGCCTCTGGCAGCCAGGTTCTCTCATGGGATTTTCCCAGAGCGCTCGCCTTTCCTGTCTTGCAATCATAGCATGGTTTATTTGCATCTCAACCTCTTGATTTATTCAGATTATCTTTGTTCTCCCCAGCTCTTCCTTTATTCCTATAAGTTTAGCAGTTCCTCCTTGGAGTCATGTCGGTTCAGTTCCCTGAGACAAAATCATAGAAGGAGGAAGATCGTCAAGGTATACAAAGAGCCAGAATACCTTTGTAGGAGTCTAAGGCTGCCAACGATACGAGGCATGAAAGCAAGGGAGTCAGACTGCAAGCTGCTTCAGATTCTGTCACAGCTCTAATAGGGAAACAACAGAGTTTTTACCACAGCCGTTGTTATAATTTACCTCTTTACGCATTAGTTATTGGTACTCTGCACTGTGCCTGTTTCAGCCATCTGCCTAAGGTCTCGGAACAAAGAGACCTCAGGATAAAGAGACCCCAGATAAAGAGACTCCATTAATATATTTATGCATAAATCCCATGTTTTTGCAAAATGCACATGTATTATGCCTCATTCTGAGGGAGGTAGTTCAACAAAGGCATATGGAAAAGGATGGGTTTGAATTAAAATCCACACACTAAGGCTCTCGTTCACAAAGGGATGAAGCAGCTGGGAAGGGAGGTGATGCTATTTTGCCCTATTGTCTTAAGAGCTGACTTCTGAGAGGCCCAATGAGATAACTATTGTGAGGGGAAGGGTCTCAGCAGATGCACTTCAGAGGGCAGACTTGCTGGAGGTGTGTCTGGCTACTACAGGGGCAGCGGGAAAGGTTGCAACCTGAGTGCCTCCAAGTCTCAGACTCTCAGAGGCTAGGCACTCTCGCAGACCTCAGCTAGGAATCACAGGCGCCAGAGTCTCCTTCCAGCCCTGCAACTGCAGCCCTGTGAACTTCACAAGTCACTCCCTCCTTTGAGCATCAGGCTCTCTGTAACCTAAGGAGCACTGTACTTCATAAGCTCAGTTTCTTCACACCTCTGGGTCTCGCCATGTGCCCTCTCCTCCCGTATGTCCATCCCATTTTGCTGTCATCATCATTGGCTAAATGGAGGCAGCAAGGCCATTGAAGCAGAAGGATGAAGTCTGAGGATGGAGAACAGTTTTCCCAGTTTGCAGTGCAGGCTAAGCATAACAATGCTGCTGGCTACTGCTAAGAACTAGGTGGCTTGTTACTATATCCACTGACAGGCTTTAGACGGCCCACTGCGCACAGCTACCTAACTCTTTCAAAGGACAGAGGAATAAAGATGACCAGGATGCCTGTGGTCCATGAGGGACTCAGACAGTGTTTACCTTGAAAATACATACTACAGTGGGTAGTCAAAGGCTACCTTGTACAGACTGAACACAAACTCTTACTACGGCTATCAAACTCCTTC